TGCGTCTGCCAGACGCCGCTGGACACTGCGCAGCAGTTGCTCAGCCGGCTGGGCACGGCGCTCCTCGGCCTCGACGTCGGCCAGGTCCCGCTTGGCGGCCGCGAGGAGGGGGTGCGCGGCGTCGTAGCCGAGCCGCTGCAGAGCCTCGATCCCCTGGCGCACACGGGCCACCCACGGCGGGGCTGGGGGCTCCAGCAGCAGCCTCAGCGGCAGGAGGACGACGATCAGCAGGAGCGCCCGAGCGGCGGCGGCGGCCAGCCGATGCCGAGCGCGCGCCGCAGGGGGGGGGGGGGGGGCGGCCTGCCTCCCTCGGCAAGCGACCGAGGCGGTCGCGCCCGCACTTCCAGCACGACTCGCGGGGCGCGAAGTTCGCGCGGAAGCCGCAGAGCCTGGTCGCAGCACATGGCCAGGTCGCCGCCTGTCCTCCCCCAGCAGGGGCGGCCTGGCGCGACGGCGGCGCCGCCATGGCGCATGCGACGCCCAGCGGTCGATCTCCGTGGTGACCAGCGAGGCGATCGCGCGCCGCAGCGACGCGGAGCGTGGCCCTCGCCTGCGCACGGAGGCGTCGTGCGCGGCAGTGCCACGCAGGGGGGCGGGGGCGCTCCGGCACGGCAGACAGCGAGCGCCCGCCGACGGCGGGCCGCTGGGGCGGGGGCGATGGCTCGCGGGCGCGGCGCCCGCCCGCAGGCAAAAAGGCTGCGGGTGGCGGGGGCCAGGGGAGCCAAGCCACCTAGGAGGAACTGGAGAAAGAGGAAGAGGAGGAGGAAGAGGAGAAGGACAAGGAACTGCCACACGCACGCTCGACTGAACTTCAGCCGCGGCCTCCCCAGGCTGGCCTGCATATTCCTGGCTGGTCGGGGGGATCTCGGTGAGGCGCACGCAGGGTCCACCAGACATCCTTTGTTCCCTCGCCCTTGTCCTCCTATTCCTCCTCCTCCTCCTCCTCCTCCTCCTCCTCCTCCTCGGCATAATCAACATCATCAGCATCATCAGCATCGGCATCAGCATCATCATCAGCAGTGCCATCACCAGCACAATCACCAGCATCATCAGTATCATCTTCATCAACATCATCATTATCAGCAGAATCAGCATCATCAGCAGCAGCCGCATTATCATCATCATCAGCAACAGCATCAGCATCATCATCACCATCATCATCATCATTGTAGTATCACCAGCATTATGATCATCATCAGTATCATCCACATCACCATCATCACCATCAGCAGAATCATCAGCAGCAGCCGCATTATCATCAGCACCATCAGCAGCAGCATCAGCATCATCATCACCATTGTAGTATCATTCGCATTATGATCATCATCATCATCAGCATCACCTTCATCATCACCATCAGCACCATCATCATCAGCTGCATCATCATCCTCATCCTCATCCTCATCATCGTCATCGTCATCGTCATCATTCTCCTCAACATCAGCATCCCCATCATCAACATCGTCATCACCATCGTCTTCACCTGGGGAATTCGCCGGCCCAACGGGCCAGAGGCGTGCTAAGATCTCCGGTAACTGGTTAACAGCATTTCTAGATCGCGCGCGCGGAACGGCCCATGGGGGCCCCCGGGCGAAAAGTACCCTGGGCAAGTCCCGGGAGGAGACCCCGGAGAGGCCCCCAAGAGGCCCTAAAGAGGGCGCCAGGGCCAGCGGAATGAGCGAAGCGATTAAATAATGATAATAATAATAAGCATCGTGAGCATCATCGTCATCATCATCATCATCATCACCATCATCATCACCATCAGCATCATCATCAACTTCATCATCACCATAAGCATCATCAGTATACGTATCATCATTATCAACATCAGCATCATCATAATCAGCAGCATCAATATCATAATCATCAGCATCCTCTTCCTCTTCTTCTTCCTCGTCCTCCTCCTCCTCCTCGCCATCATCATCATCAGCATCAGCATCAGCAGCAGCATCGTCATCATCATCATCATCATCATCATTATCAATATCGTCACCATCCTCATCATCATCAGCATCGTCGTCATTGCCATCATCATCGTCAGCATCACCACCATCATCATCACCACCACCACCATCATCATCAGCAGCACCATCATCATCAACATCATCAGCATCATCATCGTCATCATGATCAGTATCATCAACAGCAGCAGCCTCAGCAGCAGCAGCAGCATCAGCATCAGCAGCAGCATATTAATGACTCCAGGAGGGGCGTCTGGCGGGGGCGTCGGAGGCAGCTGTCAGTTTCCCAGCAAGAGGGCGTTGGACACTGCCAGCTCGGTCTTGAAATGCAGAATGCGTGTCGCGAAACGCCCTGCGCACGCAGGTCAGGCCGCGAAATTATTCGAACTGAAATGCAATCCCCAATAGGTTAAAGGGCAGGGTTGAGGGAGCCAGAAAGGACTACAGAGCGGAAACACACCCTCACGACGCTCAACCCTCTAGGGAATCAACCACCAGCAAGCAATTATACGATTCCAGGAGGGGCGTCTGGCGGGGGCGTCGGAGACAGCTGTCGGCTTCCAAGCAAGAGGGTGTTGGACACTGCCAGCTCGGTCTCGAAATGCAACATGCGCGTCGCGAGACGCCCTGCGCGCGCAGGTCAGCCGCAATATTACTCGAACTGAAATGCAATCCCATAGGAAAACCATAAGAGGGATGTGGACGGGCGGCGGTGGGGACAGGGTGGCAGACAGAACGACGAGAAAGAAACATGATCGACCCACGAACCCGGAAAGGAATATAGAAATGTAAGTCATGGCAACGTTTCAAAGACACCTGATTGGGTGACGGGCCAATGCAATGCTGAATGTATCGATCTTGATGTGCTGTGCCGATGGCTGTGCTGTGCTACGCCGTGCTGAACTGCGATGTGCCATGCCGCGATTGTGCTCGATTTAACGTTGTGGATCGAGTCCTCCCTGGCATCCGAGTCCTGACCGAACTGATCTGGATCTTAAGCTGCCTCAGCAGATGGTAGCTGCCCCAGAACTAATCGACAGAGGGGACATGCCAGGAGGACGCGCCGCAGAACGTCCCAAGGGACGCGCCAGGCGCCGTGCCAGGGGACGTGCCATGGGCACGCACCGCGGGACGTGCCAAAGGGACGCGCTACGGAACGTGCCGCCAATGGACGTGCCGCGGGACGTGCCAAGGGACGCGCATCGCGACGTGCCAGGGGGACTCGCCACGGAACGCGCCAAGGAACGTGCCAAAGTGCAATGTTGAGTGTATCGATCATGATGTACCGTGCCGACGGCTGTGCTGTGCTGGGCCGTGCTGAACTGCGATGTGCCATGCCGCGATTGTGCTCTATATAGCGTTGTAGATCGAGTCCTCCCTGGCATCCGAGTCCTGACCTAACTGATATGGATCTTAAGCTCGAGATGCCTGAGCAGATGGTAGCTGACCCAGAACTAATCGACAGGGGGACATGCCAGGAGGACGCGCAGCGTCCCAAAGAACGCGCCAGGCGCCGTGCCAGGGGACGTGCCATGGGCACGCACCGCGGGACGTGCCAAAGGGACGCGCTACGGAACGTGCCGCCAATGGACGCGCCGCGGGACGTGCCAAAGGACGCGCATCGCGACGTGCCAGGGGGACTCGCCACGGAACGCGCCATGGAACGTGCCAAGGTGCAATGTTGAGTGTATCGGTCTTGATGTACCGTGCCGACGGCTGTGCTGTGCTGGGCCGTGCTGAACTGCGATGTGCCATGCCGCGATTGTGCTCTACATAGCGTTGTAGATCGAGTTCTCTTTGCATCCGAGTCCTGACCTAGCTGATCTGGATCTTAAGCTCGAGATGCCTGAGCAGATGGTAGCTGACCCAGAACTAATCGACAGGGGGACATGCCAGGAGGACGCGCAGCGTCCCAAGGGACGCGCCAGGCGACGTGCCATGGGCACGCACCGCGGGACGTGCCAAAGGGACGCGCTACGGAACGTGCCAATGGACGTGCACCGCGCGACGTGCTAGGGGGACTCGCCACGGGACTCTCCGCGGAACGTGCCAAGCAACATGCCAGGCTGCAGTGCTAAGGGTATCGATATTGATGTTCCGTTCACAGGGCTGTGCTGTGCCTGGGCGACCTCGACACAAGAAAACACGCGTTTCGCTCAAGACGTTCTCAGCACATCCTCATGCTAGACATGCGCCTGGGCAACCTGGACACGTGCAAACAAGCGTCTCGATCGAGACTTCCTCGACACATCCTCATGCTCGACATCCGCCTGGGCGACCTGGACACGTGAAAACAATCCTCTGGTTCGAGACATCCTCAACAAATCCTCATGCTAGACATCTGTCTGGGCAACCTGGAGGCGTGAAACCAAGCGTCTCGCTCGAGACATCCTCAAGACCTGGGCACGTGAAAACAAGCATTTTACTTGAGAGATCCTCTGAATTCAGGTCCCCAGAAGAGGATGAACTAGAACGCAAAACAAGCGTGTCGCTCGCGACAGCCTCAACACATTCTATTTTTTAATACAAAAAAAAACGCTTCGCGAGGGACATCCTCAAATTTGTAATTCGCCAGCGCTGCGAGACCTCGTCATTTATCGCAGAATAATTTCGCCGGCCCTACAGCCGTCGAAACCGGGGGGAACCAACTAAAAGAGAACCCTGGGCTCGAGCCCTTTCCGGGAGAACCTCGATCGCGTCGAGGTCGTCGGTGGCTCTGCCACGGCGCCGCTGCCACTCGCGGAACACGTTCTCGAAGCACTGGTAGGCGGCCGAGCCCCTGGCGCCGACCGTCGCGGGCTCGCGGGCGCCGAGCCCCCCGCCCGCGGCTGCCCGCCCAAGACTCGGGGGCGGCGGCCGCGTGGCAGGAGAGGGGGCCTCGGCGGGCCTCCGCCGAGTGGCGCCGTGTCGACGGACGAGACCGCTGGTGGGGCGGCCCGCGCGCCCGCCCTCCCGTCGGGCCCCAGCGGCTCCGCAGGAAGTCGATGGCTCGGCGGCTGCTTGACGGGCCGTCAAGCTCTGCCCCACCGCAGGCACCTCACACAGCGTCGCCCGCGCCTCCTTAGCCTTCTCGAAGAGGCGGGACGGCTCGTCGGCGGGGTTGCACTCGCTTGGAATCCAACGGAGCGCCACCCATGCGCCCGCGGCAATCGAGAGGGGAGCCAGGCGGCGGACCAGTTGCAGGAGCCCGAAGGAGGCCGCGCGCCCCCTTGAGAAACAAAGGGGCACGCCGAAGTTGTCGACAAGGACAAGGCGCCTCTTGCGGTGCTGGCAGGGGTCCAGGAGTTCCAGACTCATTCCCCTGATGACGGCCCTACCCTCCTTGTTACCGATCGGCTCCTCAAGCCTGCACCTCCACGCCCTCCAGCACTTCCAGGAACGCCCCAGGATCGCGGCCTTCGGAATCTCAGGGTCGGCCGCTCGAGGCCGCCAGGCGAACTTCGAGGGGGCCCCGCCGAGCACGTCGAGGTCCCAAGGGCCCGCCTCGGACGTCACAGGGTCGACGAGGGGGTCGAGCTCGGCCGCCGGTGCACGTCGACGTGGCGCCCACTCCGACGGGGGCGCGCGCTCGTACCTCCAGCGCTCGTTCCACCCCCCGATCTCCTTCACGTCCTTACCGTCGAAGCCAGCCTCCATCACGCCCCACCCACTCCCCGAGGCGTCTGTCGCCAGCGCAGAAGTAGACCAGGGGCGTCCAAAGTTGCCCGAGAGCAGGGGGACCAGGCTGGAGCAGACCAGGAGCTCACGGCAGACAGAGCCCCACAGGGGCCTCGGGGTCCAGTAACAGTCCCGAGTGAAGGCGTAGGAGGCCCGCAGGACCGACAGCGCGGGTCGCTGGTTGAGGGCCTCGACGACGTAGTGGCCCAGGAGGCGCTCCAGGGTCTTCCCAGAGATCGACCCACCTCGAGCGGCATGCCGAAGAGCTCCTCGAAGGGTCCAGGCCCGTTTGGGCCTTGAACGCAACGTCCGTCGGACCCCGTCAAAGGCGGTGCCCGGGATATCCGAAGATGTTGAGGCCCAGGAGATCTCGCGAAGCACGAAGCCCTCCCCCTCGAACACCCCGATGAGCTCACGAAGTCGCTGGTCGACGCGCTCCCTGGACATCCCGAAGACAGCGAGGCTGTCGCAATACGGTGGGGCAACTGGGTCGTCGGTCAACGGGGGGTGGGGGGGGGCGAGCCAAGCATTCGACATTATCAAATCCTGGCCGAACCCTGCCTCGCGGAGCAACTCGGCATGCAGAGCCTGAACGATGTAGAAGACCAGGTCCACCCCATCGGCAGCACAAGCAAGCGCGGGAAGACCTCCCCGACATCAGGCAATGACAACCCCCGCACGTCCGAAGTCGCCCCCCACTTTTTTGCAAGGCTAGCGTCCACGGCTTCGAAGCTGAAGTATTCGCTCAGCGCAGACGGTACCCCGCACTGGTAGAAGCAATTATGTATATCGCCCGTGGCGACGAAGACAGGCGACGCCTCGTCTGGCGCCTCGAGCCCATGCATGTTCTCGGCCGAACTCATCTCAGGCTTAGGGGGGTGACGGAACATCTGGTTGACCCTTCGGCAGTCCAGGACGAGCCGTTGAGGGCCCTGTTTCGCTTTCACGAAGAAAGGTGTAATCTTGCCCTTCGAGGCCCCGCTGAACCCCAATATCCCACAGTCATATTGGCTCCTGAGGAACTTGAGACGAACATCTTCATCAGCTCTGATTCGAACATCCGTGTGGGACCCGATGGGGAAGACGAAGACGATGCTCGGCCACGTCGGCATCGGCCAAGATGTTGTCAAGGTCGAGGCTACGGCCGAGCTCGGGGGAGACAAAATCAGCCAAGACGACGGGCGACACCTGCCCCTCTGGCAGGGGCACCTTCGTCGGGTCATAGGGCTCGACCGCGCATGCAAGCATCTCGTAATCTGCATTCACTCCAGCCAACTCACGGAAAGAGGCGTGGTCACTTTGTACATGGTCGGGCATGCCCGAAGCGATGGTGGAGAACAGGTGCTGGTGAATGGCACTATGCACAGGATTGCAGCCGCCCACAGCCTCAGCCCCGTCACGCAGCGTCGGCCCCAACAGCTCCTGCGGGTGGCACCCAAAGAGCAAGTTCACGCCGTCGACCGCCTCCTGCGCCGCCGACTGGACGGCGTTCCAGCGCTTGAGGTGCAACCGGGCCTTCCTCCCCGTACCGGTACCAGGACGTTGAGCACGAGGAACATCAGGAAGGGGAAAGAGACCGCGGCCACACCGATCCCCTGCTGCTTCTTGCCGTCGGCGAGGCCAGGCCCCAGGACGACGCACTTCAAAACTACGGTCGGAGGAGACCCCATCAGACCTCACGCCAGCCATCATGTCAGAGACGGGGGCGGCTACTGGCACCGCCGCCTCTGCTCCCTTCTTCATATCGTGGAGGAGGCCGAGGGGTCCGCCTTGGCCGTCACGACCGTGACGCCTGCTCCCCTGGCCTCCGATGCCTTCCGCTTCTCCTTCAGAGTCACTGCCTCTTCGCTGAGCTCGGTCGCGGCGTGAGCCCAGAGCGGGGACGCCGTCTGGGCGCCTCCCGACCGCTCGTTGATCCCCAGTAGTAGCCCGACCCCTCGTAGTCCTGCGTCTCGAGGCTCTCCTCCGCGGCCTCCCCATGCTCGGGGATCCGCCTCAGGAGGAGCTCGCCATCGACGAGGTTCTTCTCGTTGAGCCCGTCCACCACCGCCACGAGCAGCATCGCCCCTTGGAGGACCGCGTCCTCCTCCCTTGGGCACGCCGTCATCGAGGGCGCGGCGTCGGCCAGGGGCCGCTCCGTCGGGGACCGCGCCAGGATCCTCGGGTCATCACAGAGAGAGTTGCTTTGCGCCAGCCCCCAGCGAGTGAGGTCGGACCCCACACCCAGCTGCTCGAGCACGGCGACGCCCCCGTCGATCACCACGAGGTCGCGGAACCCCAGCCCCTCAGCCCCCGCAGGCAGCGCGGACTCCTCGCGGATGTCGTGGTTCCCAAGCAGCTCCGCGGCGACCCACGCCCCATCTGTCGGGGCGAGACGGGGAGCTCCAGGCGTAGGGCCCAGTGCGGGCAAGGGCGTCCACACCACGGCGATGACTCCTGGTGCTCGGGCCGCCTCGCCCTCCAGCGGGGAGCCGCGCTGAGCCTGCTCCAGGTTGCTCACCTGGTCCGCCTCTGCTGACAGCTCGTTGACCCTGGCGGGCAGGAGCGTCGCGAAGGTGTAGAGCACACAGCCGAGAGCGGGGACCCCTCGCGGCCACACGTTGACCGAACACAAGAAACGGATCCCCTCCCGGCCGCCGTTGTTGAGGCTCGGGTCTCTCTCGCAGACGTCGAAGTCGGGCGACACGACCGCAAGCTCACCGTACTCGACGAGGGAGCCGACGAGCCTCCCGTCCAGCTCGCCAGCGCCGTAGTGCACCCCCACGGCCGACCCACGACCTGGCACGGCAGAGTCAGTGAACGAGACCCCGTCGCCCCAGTGGAAGTCGACCCTGGCCGCCTCCAGCTCCGCGCTCTGCTCCTGGGCCAGCGAGGGGGCGGGTGGCGCCGCGGCCGCAGGATCACCCCGCGCTGGCGGGGCGGGCACCCGCTCCCCCACAGATGACGTCGGGAGCAGGCCTCGCTGCACACGAGCGGCCGCCCCCAACTCCCTGATCCAGGCCGAGCCGACGTGGAAGACCAGGGACACCACACCCTGGGTCCCCCGCGCGCATCCACTGCCCTGGAGGCCGCGAGGGTCGGTGGCTCAGCCAAAATGACTTGAGCCAGAAAGGACGACAGAGCGGAAACACACCCGCACGACGCTCAGCCCTCTAGGGAATCAACCACCAGCAAGCAGTTATATCATCTTCAGCAGCATCATCATCAGCAGCTCATCATCATCATCATCATCATCATCATCATCATCATCATCATCATCATCATCATCATCATCATCATCATCATCAGCATCATCATCATCATCATCATCATCGTCATCATCATCATCATCGTCATCATCGACATTATCATCACAACCATCATCATCAGCAAACACAGCAGCATCATCCTTCTCTGCCTTCCCAACTTCATCACCCCCTTCGAACTCGAATCCCCCTCCACACCATCATATTTGTCCTACTCTTCGCCATCATCCTCGTCATCCATTTCTTCCTCCGCCTCTATCATCCGTGCGTGTTCGCACGCACAGGGAGCAGAAGTGTGGCGCAGATGACGTCGTGCTCCAACTTTGCCTCGCACATCTCGTTGAACAACGACAACGCTTGCTGCCAATGCCCGCCTTTACCGAAAGCACAGATCACAGCGTGGTAGCTGAACATGTCGGGATTCAATTTCGCCTCACACATGTTCCTGAACAGCGACAGAGCATGCTGCCACAGCCCACCGTTCTCGCAAGCGTTGATAACAGCGCTATAACTAGTGGTTTCGGGCTCCAGCTTCGCCTCCCCCATTTCGCACAGCAGCGACAAGGCATCCTCCCACTGCTCGCCTTTCCCGCACGCACTGATCACAGCGTCGTAGCTGAGCACGTCGCATTCCAGACTCACCTCCAGCATATCCCTGAACGACGACGTAGCCTGCAACCACTGCCCGCCTCTCCCGAGGGCGCTGACCACACCGTTGTAACAGAAAATGTCGGGTTCCAAACTCAGCTCGCACATCTCGCAAAACTCGCCAGCCCATCGGGCCAGCGGCGTGTAGACGGGCCGATACAAGGGACGGAAAACGTCTGCCCCCTCAGAACGCTCGAGATCGCTGGCTTGTTCCTTGTGTGGGTGCGTGTGTGTGTATGCGTGTGTGAAAAGAGAAAGCGAGAGAGAGAGAGAGAGAGGGAGTGTTGTGTGGGTTGTGTGTTGTGTTGTGTTGTGCTGTGTCGTGTTGGTGTTGGTGTTGGTGTTGATGTTGGTGTTGGTGTTAGCGTTGGTGTTGGTGTTGGTGCTGGTGTTGGTGATGGTGTTAGTGATGGTGTTGGTTTTGTGGTGTGGTGTATTGTGTTGTGTTGTGCTGTGCTGTGTTGTGTTGTGTAGTGTTGGGTTGTGCTGTGTTGTGTTGTGATGCCTTGTCTTGAGTTGTGTTGTGTTGGGTTGTGGTGTGTGTTGTGTTATGTTGCGTTGTGTTGTGCTATGTTGTGTTGTGTTATGCTGTGTCGTGTCGTGTCGTGTCGTGGTGTGTTGTCTTGTGTTGTGTTGTGTTGTATTGGGTATATGCGTGTGTATTTTGTGAGTGTGTGGGTGTGTGTGGGTGTGTGGGTGTGGGTGTGTGTGGGTGTGTGAGCCTGTGGGTGTGTGCGTGCGAGCGTGCGTGCGTGCGTGCGTGCGTGCGTGCGTGCGTGCGTGCGTGTGTGCGTGCGTGCGTGCGTGCGTGCGTGCGTGCGTGCGTGCCGCTAGCGTGCGTGTCCCGTGCGTTGCGTGCGTGTTGCGTGCGGCGTGCGTGCGTGCGTGTGTGGTGTGTGTGGTGTGTGTGTGTGTGTGTGCTGGCCTCCGTGTGTGTGCGTTCTGTGTGGTGTTGACGTGCCGCTGCGTGCGGCGCGGTGGCTGTTCGTGCCGTGCGTGCGTGCGTGCGTGCGTGCGTGCGTGCGTGCGCGCGTGCGCGCGCGAGTACGGGCGCGCGCGCGCGCGTACCGGGGGGCCCACATGAAACGGTACGCATGCCTCCCTGGCTCAGCTGGTAAGCCACCTGCACCGCCAGCGCCGTTGCCCTTCCTCACGGGGCGCCAGCGGACCCGACGAATGAGATGTGCACCGACGGACCCGCAACCACCAGGCCAACAGGCGGTCCAAACATGATGTTCTGCCCAGCTACCTGCGCGGTCCAGACATGATGTTCAGATCGGCTACCTGAGCTCGGGGGGCGCCAACAGCTTCCAGGACCCCCAGGTGGCCAGGCCCAAGCCGACAGGCGCGCGAAGGAGCCAGACGCTCGCATCAGTCGGCGGCCGCGCTTCCACCCACTGCGCCCCCGCCCACCCTCAGGACACAGGCGCGGCGACGACCCGCGGGCCCAGCGGCTCCACCGTGCCAGGTGGGGGCCCCGCCGAGAGACTCGGACAGCCCCCGCCTCCTGCGCCCCCGCGGCGCGAGGTTCGCGAGCAGTCCGACGGCGGACCAGCACCGTCGGAGCGCGGGCCCAGTTCGGCACCCCTTGACATCAGCGGGAGCGGGCGCCCGAGGCCGACAATAGCCTCGAGCAAACCCCCAGGAACGGCCCCTCATCAGCGCGACAGCAAGTCCCCCAACCCGCACCCAGCGCCACGTTCCCGCTCCAGCCCGGCCGGCGGCGACTGGAACGGCGACCAAGAGCAGCGACCCCCGGGCAGCCCCACCAACCAGGACAACGACGGGGCACCGCCCAGCCCACGCGGGCCCCCGCAGCGGCCCGCGGGTGGACCCCAGGACCCAGCCCTGCGCACGGGCCGGAACTACAAGCCGAGCTGTCCGACGGACGCGCTCCCGGGGGCGACGAAGATGAACCTGTGCGCAAGGCCCCCTGTGCTGCCGAACGCCGCAGACCCGGGCCCCCAGGAGTGGCCGCCCTGGCGCCAGGCTGGCCTCCCCCCCCCGCGCACCAACTCTGCCGCGCGACTACACCACCCACTGGAACTCCCACGACCGACTGTACCTCAAACCGCGCCAGTCCATTTCCTGACACCCCCGCTGGAACTACACCGCTCAGCGGCAGGAAACCTGTCAGGAGGCGGTCAATCCTCTCAAGAAAGAATGCGGTCCCATGTTGACCATTGGCTGGAACGCCATATGCGACCACCACATGGGGCACGCAGCGCCCACCAGAGACCCAGGCCGCCATTCCTCGGACTCCTGCCAAGAGTTCGTGTCTCAGCTTATCCAGACCAACGTCGACGTCCGCGCCCTCTGCCGCAGCAAGCACAGCCACGTCGTCTGGGACGCCCCATGGGAGCAGGAGACAGGCAAAGGGAAAGGTCCCCCCCGCACGACAAAGGCAAGCGGCCTGCTGACTCCCCCCGGCCCAGCAACGACCCCGCGCGGCAGCGCTGGTCGGGGTCCTACAGTCGCCACTGGTAGCAGCTCGCCGGGTGCCCTACTGGCAGCCGTCATTGGCCGCTCTGCGAAGCAGGTTCTAAGCGGCCCCGCGCGCGCCCCCTCGCCGCCCCCCCGCCCCTGCGGCAGCCGCCCCGCCAGGGGCTCCGCCGGTCTCTTTTGAGCCCGCGCACCTGCTCGGCGCTACCCCCCACCCGGCTGGGCCGTCTGGGCCC